ACGTGTTAAAATTAATGATAAACCCCATGATTTATGTTGACGTTTTTTTGAACATTCATCAAGTATTTGCTTTGCTAATAAACATTCTTCTTGGAATTTTAACCAATTTGTTTGAGAAATATTTGATGTTAAATTATGATCATGTTCAAATGGATCAAATATTGAAAATAATATTATATTTGAAGTTTTACATTCAAGTTTACCTAACCATGGTGAAAGTTCATATTGATTTGCATTAAATGTTGAATAGAATAAGAAAAAGTTATGAAGCATATGTTCTAAATAAATACAAAAAATTCTTCTTAATGATTTATAATCTGATCATTTACGAGGAGATTATTCGAAATTACACCTACTGTTTGAATGCATATTATGCCTACAAGGACGTCTTGGTTAGACTAACAAAAATCTAAAGGAGTTCATTCCTATTGAATTCTCTATATGTGCAAAATTTCACATTAAAATTCGAAAATACGAGTTTTTCGAAAATCTGGGAGTCTCTAGAAAAAATTTGACAACTTAGTTAAATCTCAATAGGAATCTAAATCCTTTTAGAAGTTTTATTAGAACACTATGTAGTATCTATAGTAGAGCTCATCAGGTCCAAAAATTTTGGACCTGGACTCGGTTTATTGAACATTTTTTAGACCTGGGCCCGGTTGATAAAACTTTTTTGGGCCCGGGCCCGACTTGGATCCAGTTGATTAAACTTTTTCGAGCCTGGACTCGAATTGTATTCTTGATACTTAATGAAATTTTTTTAATTTGCATCTGATAACTCCTAGGAACGCATCCTTAACGGTTCTGAAGCAATCTCGATCATGATCTTATAGGAATCAACTTATAATTGGTTCTTTTTTCAGCGTAGTACCCAAGAAGTCAGACCCTGACCTGGACTCGATCAATAGAAAATTTTCAGACCTGGACTCGGTCAACAGGAAATTTTTGGACTCGGACTCGACCGGATCCGAATTTGGGATCAACCGCACGGGCTCTAATCTATAGGCAAAAAACATCATCGAAATCGGAAAGAAATGTCTGAGGAGATTCCCTCGTAATTTATGTTCGTTTTACTGAAATTTTCAAGTTAACCTATAGATAAACACTGCAGAATCAAAATACAGAATTTCGACGAAAAATTTTGTCTATAGATAGATCTAATAAACTATAGAATATCTTGAACGCTTCAGACGAAAAGACTGTTTCTTTGTTGAGGCATTGAATTTTCAAGTAAACTCAATTTTTGTAATATGTGGCTTTGGTAAACGACTATTTTTTTAAAAATTCAATACCTCAACAAAGGAATATTCTTTTCGGCTGACACTTTCAGGATATACTACAAGTCATTCGAACTATTTATGAACAAAATTTCACGTCGATGTACTTGGTGTTTTTTATTTCCGGATATGTACCTAAAACTGGATCGAAAATTCAATAAAAGTATAATAACTTGGCTCCAAAGACCCATGGGAATCTTCTTTATTTACCTATAGAAACATTTGAAATATTTTTTTCGATTTGATTTATATCTGGAACCGAACAATTCCATGGACCATATTGTCGTTTATGAACTAAATCAACATATGAAAATCAGATTGAATATATTTATTGACAAAAAAGAAAATTTCTCATTTACTTGCACGTTCAGTTAATGTTTGAACATTAGGTAATTGTTTATTATCTAATTGTAATGTACAAACAATCATCCAAAAAAGTGTATATGTATTAAATCGATGTCCTTTTCCAAGAAGATCTTTTTGTTTAAGCCATAATCGAATTGTATATAATAATGAACGTAATTTAGGTTCAAATACAAGAAAATATCGAATTAAATCAGTATTAGCAACTGCAAGACTAAAAAGAAATAAATAAAATAAAATGAAATTTAAATTAGCTTTGAAGTATGTATGAAAATCATACTGATTATTAATTGACAGTTCACAAAAAAATTTTTGTTGCTTATGACAAAAACGAACAACAGGACAACGAGCTTGTGCAATACGTTGTACATGACATACATAAGGTGCATAAGAACGAAGTAAACGACCAATATAATTAAGTCGATCAGTAACAGACATTTGTAAAAAATCATCAGTTGAATAAGATGATAGTTGAAATGGTGGTGATAATGAACGATTCGATGATTCATCACTTGTATTTCGTTTAAACTAATTTAATTAAATATACAAATTTTTAGTTTATTTATAAATACAATAGAAGAAAATTTTTTTTTTTCATTATTATCAACTACAAAACGACAATTAAGACCTTCGTCACTCACAAAAGAAAAGTTCATTTCTGTCAGAATTATTGAAATTAAGATGATTACATGTAAGGATTGATTTCAAAGGTGTCATAAGATTTCAAGACTAAACTCTCTATTATTTCCCCAGTCGAGTCTTTCCGAGGGAGAAAACAGCAGAGATTCCAGTCTTGAAGCTTCATGCAGTCTTCTGAAATCCTATAAAACCTTTGAACTATAGTTTTTAATATATGTTGAAATCTCATGAAGTTTTTAAGTCTAGTATTTCCTCTCGAGTCTTTCACAAACAATATGATTTTTTATTTAGCACGTCGTTTTTGAGGAGAAACAGCAGACTTCAGCATATATTAAAAGCTATAGCTCATAGATTCCAAAAAGGCTTCTTAAGACTTCAACATTGAAATCTTTGCTGTTTCTCTCCTGGTCGTTTTTTCCAAAAATTTCTGATGATTTTCGCCACCTTCTGCTTGAAACATATGCTTGTTTCAGAAAAAGCAACAAATCTTTGTTTTTTCTCTGTTTATACTATTTCTATCGCGCATCCTACGATTCTCAAAGGAGGTTTATTGTAGTCAATTATTTTTGTTTTTGTTTCAAAGAATATGTGAGGGTGCAGTGCTCTTTTGTTTGAATTAAGCTTTTTTGTTATTATATGAAAAGGCACTTCTATAGATAGCTGACTATTTTTTAAAAGTTTTTCGTTGTCTTGAAGTTGTCATTCGTTTTCTTCACAGAAAAGGTAAGAATTTAAAGAAAGAGCTTTGTCAGGTACTGCAATCTGACATATTCTTTCCAATGGCAACAAAATTAAATAAACAGAATGAAAACCTATTGAGAATTTTCGGTTGCCAAACGATCTATTTTTGACTATTGTTTGTTGAATATCTTCTGAAAACATCATGATATAGAGCTGAAAATTCCGGCATAGTCTTTTCATCACAGTCCCATTATATCCTGAAAATTTCATGCAATTTAGATATATCTAGTCTACGATCAATTTTTGAGGATAAACGAGGAGACCTTAAACTTTATTAAAATTGACATTTATGTTTATATTTAGAATATCTTTCTGCTTATATATAATTCTATCATATATATATATTTCTTCAATACGAAAATAGCCTTTTACTAATCAGGAAAACACACATATATCCATATATTTTTAGTTGGCAGCAGGATAAACAACTTTTAGTAATAATAATAGTCATTTGATTGATTATATGACATTTTCTAGGTTACGATATATATTAGTAAAGAAAATAAATACTATTTTATCCTTTCTATTATATACTAGTAATTCTTAATTTATAGTATAAATAAACAAAATTTATTTTATGTACCTTATTTTGATTCATATCTATGTCATTGCTACAACTATTTTCATCGATATTCATTGATTCTCCACTATTATTTGATGATGATAAATGTTGTGGTTCAATGTAAGTATCATTAAGAACAAGAACAAGATCCATATCAGATAAATTTGTTGCTAAATTATTTGCCATCGATCCAGTTAAATATAATTTTGCTTCTAAAAGTAATCAATAGACAAAAAAAAAACAATTACATTTCTTTTTTTTGCTTTTTGTACCTGGAAAATATTTAACGAACATTATTTCTAATTCTTGAAAAAATTCTTTTCTCATTTGAAATATTTCATTTGTAATTTTTTCTTGTTCAATAATTATTTCAGCTTGTTCATCAATCTAAATTTAAACAATGATTTAAAAACAATTTCAATTCTTCTCTTACTGTTAATTTATTGTTTAAATTTTGAATCATAATTGCGTGTTGTTCAATTTCTTTTTCTTTATTAATATTTAAAAATTCTTGTTCACTAATTAACATTCGTTTTGATTTAAAGTCATGATGATTACGTTGTTTAACTTTTAAATGTGAACCATCATTTAGTTTATGTTCATCTGGATATTCCAAACATTTATTAACTGAATTGATATCTTCATATTCAATAATAGCATAAATATGCTTCAAAAGAAAAACAAAAGTTTATTTGTTAAACGATATAGAAAAATTATTATCCATACTAACTTTTTCTTTATCAATAAAACAATTTTTAATTTGTCCAAAATGTGAAAAATAATCTTTAAGAATATTTTCATCATGTTCAGGCTTAATACGTGATACATAGATACTAGAATTTTGTGAAATTTCAAAACGTCCACGAGCATTTAATAATGCTTGATGACGTTTTCCTTTTGTATGATCGGCTAGAACGTGTTCTTAAAAAAAACAAGGAAATGTTTAATTAATAATTAGAATTCATCTAACAAACCATCTGGTACTTCAATACGACATAAATCACAACGGAGAACCATTGTTGATCACTTTTTTCTTTTGAATGAAATAATAATTATAGAAATTCAGATACAACAACCAATAAGAACTATAGATGTCGTTAACATAAAATAATTTATCTATTTATTAAATAAAATTGATAAAAATGTCAGAAAAAAATAAATATATAAGAAAAAATTATTATTAATATTGATGTTTGTTTTTTTTGACGAACCAATTAAAGAAAGAACGAAGCCACAAAATTTTTGTTTATTTATTTTTGTCAATCGTTTTGAGTGCTTCGTTTTTTTTTTAAGCTTCCTGTCTTGACACAGCTAATGATTTTTTAAACATTTTCTAATTGGTTATTATAGATTTTTGATCTCTTCGCTTTTTTTTTCTTTTTTATTATAACGATATACTTCTAGCAGTGCTGTTCAATATGTCAACAAGGTAAGAATTCTTTTGCCTAAAGCAAAGGTCAAACGGTTACATTAAAACATAGTTGGCGATTGATTGAATGTTGATAAATATATATATATATGTATTCCATTATATTTAGTCGTTCTGATGTGAAACAATGCATTTAATGAGGATAATTTAATTGAATACTTCGATTTTTTTTTCTTAAGAATATCTTCATTCAGTATTTATTCATTTATCGCAACAATAATGAAAGATATGTCGAAAAAGAATCAATCATTAAATCAATTACTGATAGTATCTGATTCCCTCGATATCAATTGACTACTAATAATAATAGACAGTGATTCTTAATTAGATTATGTGTAAATAGAGATAAAAACTTCGAACGATTAAAAAACATTCAATCACTACCCTTGCGGTTGTCTTTTATTTTCTTTTCTTTAAATTGTTGTTCGCATTAAAGAACGTTTAGCCACTATTGTAAGACAAAAAAAACGACAGAAAAAGAAAAGAAAACCACGACCAAAAAAAAAATATGTCGTTCGACTGTTATAATAGTAATAATACAGTGGTGCCATTTAGTATTCTTCTTCTCGGCTAATGAAAGCAAACGGTCGAGAAGAGAAAAAGCAAAAAAGAAAGAAGAAACAGAACATAAACGAGACGAAAGCGGGAAGAAAGGCATTATACCATCACCTTTGAACG